TCCATCTCATAGTACTGTGGCAGATCATGAGTAAAATAAGGAAATTTACTAATTTAATACTGAAGGAATACAAAGTAAATCTAACTGTTTTCAAAGTTATGTTAGGAAAACGTGGGACGACACATGTATCTTTAGTGCCCTCAAAAGTGATAAGCTCTTTTTTTTTTTTGTATTTACTTTGATTTATCAGTGCGTTACGTAAATGCATTTGGAGGAAAAAAAGATGCAATTAAATATTTAAATAGTCATAAAGTTTAACACTCGTAGTTAGACACCCACACCATTGGTCTGATTCTACTTACAGTCTTTGGCGGTCTCCGTTCTGGGGTTTTTAGTGGTAATAATAGTTGTATAAGCAGCAGAAGTAGTAATATTATTAGTCGAAGATTTAACAGGAGTAGTAGTATGAGTACTAATAGTTGTAGTAGTGGTAGTATAAGTAGTAGTAGTTGTGGTAGTATTGAAGATGGTGGTGGTGGTGGTAGTAAAGGAAGAATAGTACTAGTAATATCAGTACGGGTACATGTAGTATAGTATAATAGTAATATAGCAGTTGGAGCATTAGTAGTAGTGTAGAAGTAGTAGTAGTAGTAGTAATTTAAAATTAGTAGTAGTTACATTATAAGTAGTAGAAGTAGTAGTATTGGTGGTAGTAATAATAGCAGTATAGTAGTAGAGTAGTAGTAGTAGTAGTAAGAAAGTAGTAGTCGTAGTCGTCGTCGTGGTAGTAGTAGTAGTTATATAGATGTAGTAATATTTAGTATACTGTAAGAGTCGTATTCTGTACTAGTAGTATAATAACAATAGCACAAGAGTAGAAGTAGAAGTAGTAGCAGCAGTAGCAGCAGCAGTATTATTATTATTATTAGTAGTAGTAGTAGAAGTAGTAGTAGTATTGGTAGTAGTAGTAGTGGTAGTAGTAGTAGTATTAGTAGTAGTAGTAGTAGTAGTAGTAGTGGTGGTGATGGTGATGGGAGAATAACTAAAGATCCCTCTGGTGGTGCATGGGACAACTACAGTCGTAGTATCTTGTTTTCTTTAATTAGGCATCATCGTCGTCGTAGTAGTAGAAGAAGAACAGTAGGAAAAGTTGAAGTAAGATTTGTAATATATATAGTAATAGTATGTCGTAGTAGTAGTATAGGATCAGTAGTAATAAGGTTTAGTACAATTTAGTAAACTGTAAAAGAAGTATTGGTATAAACAGCATTACTGATATTATATTGTACTGGTAGTGATTAACTAGTAGCGATAACAGCAGCAGCAACAGTAGTAGAAGTAGTAGTAGGAGTAGAAGTAGTATATTCAATAGCATGGTAATCTTCATTTATTTCATATTGTTAACTCAAGCGTACCCTCGTTTTGAAAGTACCCCCTATCTGCGGGGTGAAAGTCAATGGCGGACCGGACTTTGTAGCGCGAAAAGTACCTCTTTACCGGAGATTTTGGAAAAAACGCATCCGACCCGGTGTGTATGTGTGTGTGTGTGTGTGTGGGGGGGGGGGTGGAGATTTATACATTCCTACCTTGTTATTACGTTTTTCAACTTTATGTTCGGTTTTCTCTTTATGCTTATTCTATTTGAGTATTTTGTAATATAGTGTAAACAAGAAGAAAACAAATACTTGCAAAAACAACACAATTTTGAATTGAGTTACATTAATCTCGACTTACTAAGAAACACAAGACCCCCTTTCCCTTTTCCATACCAAAAATTTGCTTTATACCGGATTTTCTTTTCCTTAAAAGAATAACGAGGCATTCCTTTAATCATTGTATTTTAATGTGAAAGTGGATGTCATTTTAGACACATTTCTGCAAGGATTTTCTAAAAAAAAATATGTTTGAAATCGAATATTGATGAAAGATTATTTTTTTTTGGTTTTCTGCGTACAATAGAAAACCCAAATTATGTATTCTGTTATCAATATTGTGTTCAAATACATTTTTTTGAGGGAAATCTTTGCAGAAGTGTGTCATTATGATATAATCTGAGTGAACATTTTGCCATCAAATTTCTTGCGAATTTGGGGCTCCCAACACTTAATAGGGGCTTTAAAACCAAATAACAAGGATTTGTTGTTTGTTTACGTTTCCACCGTGTTTGTTATTGTTGAAATGTATGGGACAGCAAATCACCATATACCATGACCTTTTTCACAGTCAAAGGTCTACTTGTAATTTATTGTACCATGATTCAAGCAAGAGGAATTGCACTGAATTCCTGTTTTGTACAACACCGTACCATTTTATTATCAATTATCATTTTCACGGCGTTTGGGGCGGATAGGAAGCTACCAGGACAGCTAATTTGGAAAATATACCTTCACATTAACAGCTTGTGCCTTTATATAATTAACCTTCGTAATTACTACGTAATAATAAAAAAGATAATGGGTCATCTCTTTTTGCAAGGCCATTATTTCCATAATCCATATCGAATCATTCAGTCACACTGTTTCTTTCATCATTACCTCAGGTTCTGTTATCCTGTTATGGGTCTTATTCAAGTACTGTTACACTATTCATCAGATATCGTATCGTTTACTTCTGTGCAACTCAAGCGTTCCTTTAAAAAGATAAATAAATACTTCTCAAAATAATACAATCTCATTGGTCACTTTAATAAGCCAAAACAATGAATTTCACCTGCAATGAAAAAAACAACATAATTACGATGGAATGTCTTGAAGATTAAATGTCAAATAAAGCAATACACCAATGAAAAACAAGAACAACAGCAAAGTATGTAAACAAAAATAGGTCTGCTTAAAAAATTACCTCCATACTTAAAGAAATCAACTTACAGAATTACGTTGACATCAATTTGTTTTGATCATATTGAATTGTTCTTAACTTTTGTGTATGTCGATCGATACAAATCATTACGAACTTGTTTCATTTTGCAAAAATCTTCCATGCGCTCTGAAACGTCTGTCTTTCGGGGGATTGCGCCAGAATTTGGCCAATGTCGCAATGTCAATGTCCTCAGCGCATTTGTAACGTACGACAGAACCCTGATAAGGGTTACACTATGTTCATGGGGTTTCCTAAACTTGATTAATTATCTTTCTCTTGTAGAAGACGACGACATGACCGATGATCATGGCAGAGATAATTTAGCCCTCGATCACATTATTAGAGACATTAGATTGGGCGGAAGGTACATGGTCGCTAAACTAGTAGAATGGGACACATTGGCATTTGGAAGAGCCCTGTGGCTAAATACCTCTTTAAAATGCGTTTTTCTCTCAAGCAAACTCGATTATATACCTGCTAGTTCTCAAACACAGTTTTGAAACTTATGTGATCGAAATAAATGTATGGAACATTTTTTTGCTACAAAATTAATATTACAGTCAAACCTGTTTATCTTCAAAGGGCTATGCAGCCTATCACAAAGACCTTCAGGAAGATTATAGGTTGCGTCTGGTCCATTTATGAAATTAAACTCTCCGGCAACAAAAAAGGAGCTTGGCAGTGAATTTTCCCTTTAGAAAACAATCTCTGCATTTGAAAAGGAAGGTTTTAGAAACGTCACAATGAAAAGAAACATGGCTAACATTGAGAACATTGTATGGATGCATTCATGTTGAATTTGTAATTTAATCCAACCTCTAGCAGATTTACCACTAAAGGGATCCAGTATTGTTATGCCGAAATGAGAGACGGACCGGAAGCAATAATCAGACATCAAAAAACATGTTTTCTCGGTTTAGATGTCCTGGTTGAACTTTCAATCCATTGAAGTCATCTGCACTGCTGCCTTAGACGGAATCGGTTTCGTACTATTGACTCTCCCGTCTAACCTTACTCCATTATGTCTGCAAGGGGCAGATGGAAGTGCAACAAGACATGCACAAACTATCGAATGTCTTGGTCTAGACTCACTTCTTGGTAATCTTCGACCAAGAGAACATTTGTGGTAATCGTATCCATCACGCCAATCATCTCTTTCTTTGATTTGACTTGTCTGGCTGGTGGAGGGAGGGGGGGGGGGGATTGGGTTAGATGTTATGCTTTAAAGAGAGAGAGATAAGTTCTGGTAAAGGTAAAATACATAATTTGTGAGTTTAAAAAAAATAACAACTCTTGGTGGTAATAGCCGTGCAGCAGGAAAAGGATTGCTCTTTAATTCAATGGACTTTTATCGAAATATGACGAGAAACAGCTAGATAGTTTGGACCAAACTTTAATACCACATGCATGTGTAGTCCCATATACACAATTTCCTGTGTAGTGCATGTGTCTTTCAGGAAGCATGAGTCAACGTCTTCTTATTTTGTTGATTCAGTAGAACTCACGATATACACCAATTTTCATGTACTGCATAATCAACCTTTTCCAGTTGCATTTGCGATGCAGTTGTACGACCTGAAACTACATTTAATCTTTAAATGAGTAACATTTCCAGACACGAATTTTAGAGGAATGTATAAACATGAGCTCCCATGTCACCCCCACTTCTCCTCACTGTAGTGACAGAAATACGTTATGCTTACTTTGTGTTTGACACATCATACAACTCTTGAGGCTAACATCACCTTGGAATGCAAAAACAAGTCGATTAAAGAAAAGAGAGACTATTAGAATTGACTTATTAAACATAAATTTAAAGAATTGTTATTGTAGGAAGCCATTCTAATCTGTTAAAACCATTACAATACATGAATTATTAAGACACAGAAAATGTAAATAGATCTTGCATCAATATCTAAACGCTCTTTTTCTTCTTCCTTTTGAAACATTTCCTTCTTTAAAACACTTTCAATCCGTTGTTTCTCATATGACGATAAAAGTCTGATCCAAACGAGTTAGGTATCAAACGATTAAACATGAATGTATTTGTCTCTATCGTCTTGGGTGTCTTGGGTTCGAAACCAAGTCGATGTACGCTAATGCTCTTTTTATGGCATCGTCGATCATTAAATCAATTGGAGAGCACTTACAACCACAGGCCCACTAATTCAGAATTTATTTTTTCCCTCTCACTGAGCAGTCAGAAATAAAGTGTACAATTGAATAAATTTAAGAATGACGTTTATGGACAACCTTATATTGCATTTCTCTTGTAAAATGTTCTATTGGTTACATGAATGACACATTTCTTTTAGACACCCTGTACTTTGTTATGTTTTCATACTGTCATGGCCCTTATGGTGGCCATAATTAGCAGCCAAATTATGAGCACGTATAAACAACATAGGAAAAGTAATTAAAATCGTAGCATATAAAAACCATTTCAATATAATTTATACAAAAATAACGATAATTCATATTGTAAATATGATAAAATATTTCAGGCCTGGATGATTTCATATAATTAGTCTTTCATTTTAACATCATACCCGACTTTCAACTGCTGTCCCGTTCGCGACATCGTTTACAACATCGTCAGTCCTATCATGAACCCATTCGGATGTGTTGAACACCTGCTGCACCCTAGCAGCTTTCTTGAACAACACCTTGAGGGCGTGCCGGAACTCTGGATTCCTGGCTGTGTATATGAAGGGATTGGCACACGAATTGACATAGGCGAGCAGGATGAACGCCATGTACAGGCGACTGTGCAGGAAGTCCACATTGAGAATACCGATACTGTAAAACAGATAACATAGCTGGTCGGGAGTCCAGCAAATTATAAACGTCATCACCACGACAAAGAGCATTTGGAGGACCCGCTCCCGCGCTTGCAGGAGATTGAGGGTTATCCTAGAGGAATCCATGCGATTTTCTTTGAGTGCACGCGCCTCGGTGTGCAATTCACGTATAGTTCTCACATGCGCGAAGAGCATGATGCCGATTGGGATAACGTACTCGGTGATGAATAGCAGAACACCCTGCATCATTTTACCCAGTCGGGTTGGGAAATGGACGATGCAACTGCATGAGTCTGGATGCACCGTATTGACGACGAAGCTACCGATGTTCACGATGAACGCTAGCACCCATATAGGAATGAAGACATACTTGATCCGCGAAGGGGTTATTTTTGCGCGGTAGATGAACGGGTAGACGATGGCGAAGAACCGTTCGAGGGATATCATGCATAGTGTGTACATCGACGCGATGAATGGAATCCATACAAGAACATTGGAGAAGACGAACTTACAGTAGATGTTCCCCAACCAATTGTTCGACAACCTGGACGCACCAGGGATAGGGGTGAGGAATACAGAGCACAGAAGATCAGCTACGGCGAGTCCTGCTATCAGCCGATCCGTGCCACGATTGCTCTTCGACTTGCCGTGTATAATGATCACCAGGGCGTTTCCCATGATCCCTGCGAGGGTCAGGCTCAAACGTAGGATATTAAACCAATTCCAGACGACTGGCGCCCACGTCCATGCTTCACCAAACTCGGGACAGGAAGCATTAATCCCTCGCTTGATCACAACTGACGGATTCGTCGCACCTATATCGTACACCAGAACCCCTATTCCTTGGTCATCTTGGGTGGAAGTGCCCTCACCCATTAGTCTGTATGTCGAGTTCACGCTAAACGAGTGGACAACCGACTCGTATTGATTGAGCGACATCGTGGACGAGGCTCAAATACTAATAACGGCACGTTCATCTATAAACAGAAAACAAGAAACGTAACGCAATCGGATAAATCGTGACCGGAGCTAACGAACAGACTAAAGCAAAATTGCGGATGGACTGGCGGCTTTCGCTTTCAAATATTCCAATTAATCTGTAATCCTTATATAAACGATGTCAACACAACATGTAGGAATAAATGTCACTCACGTCCTACGTATGAATATCCACTCAATAATTTATTTCTAGCTCCACCGTTAAACGTAAAAGAGATTTATGTCAGGCAAGATGAATCTTTCGCTCTAATTAGTATACATATTTGTTTTGAAATAGATCTGATACAGATGTTTCAAACCATTTGCTTAATCCAGTATTTATCACACATCAAAAAATGAATTTCGACCCATTTCCTTTGAATGAATAATTTGGAGTAAAATCTGTAATGTGTATTCCGTTTCTACTCCAAATTGTTTCTGGAGATAATAATCCGCCGCATGCTTATGAGTTCCATTCAATAGAAACTAATGTAACACACCAACGCAATATTGAGAATAGTAATTTGAACAGCGATCGTAAGTTTTGGTTTCCTATTGACTGGGAACAAGCGACAAGACATCTTGATATTCAACAAAATGTTTTCCTCATTCCTTGGGAAACCAACGGTGATTTAAGAAGTTCTAGAGCGATGAACGCCTCCAGAATTTTGTATTAGTAATGCCGTCAAGTACTCGCTTCAGCGATTTATCGGTGGTTATCACAATCGTTCAAGATATTGCAAATTCACTTTCTGCCCTCCTGAAGAATAAATACGGTGTCGCGGCGAATCGAATTAAGTTCCACACTTAAATGTGATCAAAGTGGAGGGAATCATTCAATTACAGCAGACTGAAAATGTGATTAGCCTCCTCTTTTGTCATCACAGGCGAGGTACGAAGACAGACGGTCGTTCCCTCCTCAAAAAGGCGCGAAAGAGCGATGTCCAAATGGAGCCTGCAACCATTAGATTTGATTGTGAGAGCGGAGAGTTTCTTGCAATGCGTAGGCGCATTGCCTGTCACGAGCGGCTACTTTTGGAAAACAATACGCAGACGATTTCGATGAGTAAGTTTCATGATCGCGCCTTGCTAGCATCTTTTAAAAGGATTTTACAACCCACGTTTTGTCATCTAGCCTAAACACATGTCACTCAACGAAATATTTCCTTTACTCCAAATCTTTGACTGAGCACGATTTTTTTGTCACGCTCTTCGCAAACATTTCTTTTTAAATAGAGCGATCATGGAGTTATGAATAGGAAGAAAGATGACGAAGCAACCAGCTTTGTTATCACTGTTAAACTTCTTTTCTCCAGGATGAGACACTTTCTGTATAGACGGTATATCAAGTCGATATGATGTCCAATTAGTGCGAGAAATCACTAGTTAATGCTTCCGTCCTAGAAAAGGAATCCTGATATACGATTCGAGACTGCTAAATGTTTACTGCATCTGTCCACTTGGCGGTGCTTGATTGCCTGGCTTGAATGTTGTCACATCGGCGGGTATCTGTCCTATGTCATCGCAGTCATCTAAATAGAGTGAGAGAAGGAGAAGGAGAGAGAGAGAGAGGGGGGGGGGGGGGGGAGAGAGAACCGTTATTAACCGACACTTCATGGAATGATTAAGGCATCACTCAATTTCAAAGTAAGAGCAACATTCCAATTAGAGCACTTTAAATATTTGAACATTCTGTCACGATACAGGGCTATTTTAATTTGGTCTATACACGATTTGTGGTTAAAGTGATTGATGGATGCAAAAGTACTCATTATCCGTGTGCTGCAAATCCTATTTCACATTTCTCAGTATCCACATAGATCCCCTTCAACATCGTGTAAACAAGTAAAGACCGCGTTGACATTATGAACAATCACATGGATCCAATAACAATATTTAAATATATACTACTGAGTACATGTACTAAAGCTTATCATGCTGACATTTCGGTGCAAATGCACTATTTTGATTGCGATGAATATAAATATTTAAATGAAAAAAATAGCTAGTAGGTGTGAGTTACATACTTTTGTTTAGGAAGCTGACTTTTAAAGAGAAAAATGAGTTCTCAGGAGAGGTGGACAATACTTTGTGAGCGTTTTCAAATGTGTGGAAGAACATTAGGTAAAAACAAATGTTCCCTGGAAAGCATGTTTTTTCAAATGCCTTCATATTCTAAATATGACATATGCAACAGCTCAAAAATGAGGGCCTCATTTTTATGCGGCATTTTTGTGTAGTCCCATATACATGTTTCTGTGTACAGTGCTTGTTACTTAACCAAAGCTGAGCTAAATTTCTTATCAATTTGATGATTCAAGAACCTTGCAGTACACACCAATACTTATATGCTACATGATCAACTTTTTCTGATCGATCCACACCGTTACTCTCACAATGCAATCGTATATGACCAGAACTCTACTTTATCTTTAATGTTTTTCTAAAGTAAACCTATTTGCATGTGGAATTTGTTAATGTCATTTTCAGCTTCACATTGTTTAACAATCTTGTATTTTGTTGAATGGTCGTAATGCAGAAACAGCGTGGCTTTTATTTTGGATGCATGTCATGATTCCTCTAGATATCGATTGCAATATGAAACAACATCTCTTATAACCGGTGATTTTTGGAGAAAGACAGTCATACTCATCATGCTCATGGTTGCCACTAGGAATGCTCGGAGAGGGAGTGCATGGAAGAGAGGAAAAAAAAGATATTCATTGAGACCTCTCTCACACATTGCGACGAAAAGGATGCGATATCAATTTATGCGCTCATTTCTGGCAGATGCGGATCATCTTGAAAGAGAGAATTCGCCACATTCGACAATAATTGATCGATTTTTATAGAGGTATTAGGGTGGGAGTGCGAGGGAGGGAGAACGAGAAAAGGTGTAAGGGAGAGATGGTGAGATGAAGTGGGGAAAAAAGTGGGAGGAGAGAGGAGTGATGACATAACGAGAGAGAGAGAAAGAGGCGGAGGGGTGGCTAGGAAGAGAATGATGAAGAGATGGAGAAGGAGTGAACAGGAAGAGACAGAGAGACAGAGAGAGAGAGAGAGAACATCAGGGGCAGAGTGACATGGAAGAGAAAGCAATATTTAAGAGAGAGAAAGAAAGAGAGAGAGAGAGAGAGAGAGAGAGGGAGGAAAAGTGAAAGAGAAACAAGAGAATAGAGAATGGGAGAGACAGAGAATGAAAAAAGAAAGAAAAAGAGGGAGAAAGAGAGAGAGAGAGAACGAGAGAAGGGGGGGGGGTGAAGGGAAAGGAGGGCAAAAGAAAGTGAGAAGAGGGAGAGAGAGAGAGAGAGAGAGAGAGAGAGAGAGAGAAAAGTTATCGAGTATATTTCCTGAAATGTGAAACCCCGGAGATATGATCGAAATCAGACAGGATTTGTCAAAGGGTTCGAATTCAGAAGTAGTCTCTGGGCTGTTGAGAAGCTGCTTTATGCATATTTTCCTCACATTTTTACATTCCATCTTACTATTTTTATTCTGTCCCTGTTTTTTACGCGTGGAATATGAACCTCAAATCTATTGGCTCCAGGGGCGATTCCTGATCTTTTACTTCCCTCTATTACTTGAACTAGATCTCTGGAGAGAGAGAAGGGGGGGGGGGTTAGGGGGTTGGTGAAAATTCTCTTCCTCCGAATGGGGAGGGAAAGGAAAAATAGGAAAGAGAGAGTATGGTTAAAGATAAAGACCAGTTATGGTTATGCGATTGCATTGTGAAAGAAATGTTGTGGAATCGATCAGAAAAGGTTGATCATCTAGCATATTGGTGTGTACTTCAAGGTTCTGCAATCATCAAAATGATAAGAAATTTGGCCCAGTCTTGGTAAAGTTACAATCACTGTACAAGATGTATTTTGGACTACGCACAGGTGCGCAACACGTGCATTATATCTATCAGGTCCAAAAAGATATAATTATTTACCAAATATATCAATTAGTAGGCGGTTTCTCGGCAAAATTTGTATGATCACGTATTAGTCAAAACATAATCTTTTACAAGGTTGGTAATAAAAGCTTCGATTTCATTTTTTGAGAGAGGGTGTTTCCAAAACTGGTCTTTACCTTTGAGTGGCAGCGTAAGCGTAAGGAAGTAGGATAGAGGAAGGGGAGAGAGAGAGAGAGAGAGAGAGAGAGAACAGATAAGAGAATGGGGTAAGGGAATAGGATCGATTGTATATCAAATTGAGTATTGTATGGAAAAGATCATCTTGTAGTTCGCATCCAAACGTAAGTTTATAAATGAAATAAAAAGGCTTCTAATAGAAACGTGTATAGAGTTTCAAGGATTTAGTTGTCATTTAACACTAATTTTCTTGAAATTCAAACGAAAAAAGGGGCATCACTATAGCATTACATTGATGAGGGAGAGGGGAAAGAAAGAGAGATCGCCAGGGACTTTTCTTAATGCTGAGTGGCTCAGGAATCTCTGCTCCAGCACGTGTGAAAGGTTAATTGGTATGCCGAGCGTTACTGTATATTCTCCTCGACGCCGTATTAACGCTTTCCAAGCAGTTACTTTCCTTCTTCATCCAGTACAAAACGCCATCGGCACTTCCTATATCCAACGAACTTAAAATAGACGTGCTTAGTAGGAACCGGGAGTGAGAGACCGCGGTCCATCCATTTATCGCAATGTGAGTAACGTTTTGTGAGAGCGTGAATGAGGTGTGATAACGATTCGAATAACGTTTCGTGTGAGAAGAAAAAAAAGAGCTAATTTTGAAGAGGGATCCCTTGCAATTCCCTGGGACATACATTTGAGACACGAAACTGAACTGAAACAACAGATTTACAAGGTCATTGAAAATCAGAGTCAGAGTCAGAGGCACTATCCTGCGACCGAACAAAAATGAATAGAAATTAAGAGAAACTATGATTGCCTAAAGCGCCGCCGTGAAGAGTGAATTTTTTAAATTTGTAATTAAGGTTTTAAAAAATTATTGTGACCACAACCACCCATGTCTAAATCCGATTCCGCATCGACATCTCACTATGGAAAGGGATGGATATACGGTCTTTTTTTTGGACTATGGTTTATTTGTGTAGATGTAAATTTAATTGTCAGGCAATTCCGAGACAAACATATATTTAGATGCTGCTTGTAAGTGTCGGCTTGCATGTTGATTTAGATATACAGTAGGCTTGCGGGTGCACCATGTAAAACATATATTTATAATAAAAATATATTGTTCCGATATCCCTGTCCGATCTTAAAACAAGTCTATACACACTTTCGTTGTGATTGAAAAAAAAATCATGGGGCAAGACTTAGCCGCATATCAAACTGTATGCTGCCAGCTCATTTCAATCTGAAAATTATCTTTGTTTTCATTATAATTCCTTTAAAACTTGTACACGTTTAAATTCCACGAAAGCTCTTGACATCCAAAGCGATCCCCTAAAGAATCGGATATCACCGTCTTTACTTTTTCATTGGGGCACTTTCCGAAACCTTTATACTGTATTGAAGTAAATTATTAACAGGTTCTTGAACTGCTATGAGACGTTTAAAAAAAAAATCAACCCGCAATCTAAGAGGGCGGCCCGATAGGCTATATTGACATTACACTCTTCATCTCACCCCCTAGAGGATTCGACTGAAACACAATGGCTCGGCCACAGGGTACTAACCAAACATTTGCGATCGTATTCAAGACGTCTACAGTCCTCTGAGATAACAGTCCGAGTATGCCTCGAACCATAGGCGAATTATTAGGAGCTTGAGTTCTCCTATCACCTCTTTGCTCAACATTTTTTATTTCATTTTTTAATTTTATATACAACTGATATTATTCGGACACGTATAAGTTTTCATTACAGCTATTTATGGAAAGCTTTTAAAGCACTCTAGTATCAACGTATCGCGTATTCACAAGGGGTATCTTTATTCCAAATGGCTATACAAATATGATCGTGAATTGTTTCGAAACTGGGTAGAAGTGTGATTGCCATACATTAGACAACTTAGAGCAAGCGTATTAAAGTGGGTGTAGTTGTGGGGAGCGTGGGGGAAGTGTTCTTGGGGGCATATATCTCGGAAAAGATAATAAATATATAATTACTATGCAAAGTACATTATACGAAACTTAATAACATGGAACACGCAACACCTGAGCTCGAAGGGACTGGCATTTCAAAACACTTGCATGATGATGATGTAAAGTAGTGTGCAAACAGGAAATGTTGCTAAATAGGAATCGGAAGGAAAAAGTGCGCAAAGAAAGGAAATCGCGCAAAAAGAAATTGGAAGAAAATTTGTTGAAAAAGGGGTCACTTGGTTTTATTCAATGAAAACGTAATGACAGTAAGCATATAAATCTGAAATAAACATCACAACTGGACAATCGCCAAAAACAGTCTACACCAAAACGAATCACACTTTAACCTAACCATGCCTACGGAGAATAGTACGGTTTGTAAGTTTTCAAGAAACACATTGGTTTCGTTCAGTTTCCTCAACCAGATTCACTTTTTGTTCAGGTCTCATTTGTTTGATATCTTACC